ATGGGACCCTCAAGATGCCACGACTAAACGAAGAAAGCAGAAACAGAGCCATTGGACACTTGGAAGCTGGAGAAAGCCAGTCATCAGTTGCCAGACATCTAAACGTGAGGCGGAGTACGATTTCCCGTCTCTGGCAGCGCTACACGCAGCACAACTCGACCAGAGATCGTCCTAGGAGTGGGAGACCAAGGGTGACAACTCCAGCGCAAGACCGCTTCATCCGGGTGTTTCATCTGCGAAATCGGACCGTCACTGCAGCGTACACCGCCGACAATGTTCCTGCACAAACCATCAGGAATCGCCTAAGAGAGCATGGAATCCGACCGATGCGACCACATACAGGACCTGTTCTGCGACACCACCATCGTCGTGCACGTCTTCAATGGAGCAGGAACGTTCGGCCATGGACCCTCTTGAACTGGAGGAGGATCTGGTTCAGCGACGAGTCGCGGTTTCTGCTGTATCGACATGATGGCAGGATGCGGATTTACAGACGTCGAAATGAAAGATATGCTCCACAGTGTGTTCGTGAGGTCGACAGACACGGCGGCGAAGGTGTAATGATGTGGGCAGGCATATCTGTGAATGGCAGAAACGAGCTGGTGCATGTCCAAGGGAATATGAATGCTGTGCGCTATCGTGATGAAATCCTGGAACGTCATGTTATTCCCGTAATTGACGCTAGAAGAGAAATGTTCCAGCATGACAACGCAAGAACGCATACAGCACGCATTACAACAGATTTCCTTACCATCAACAACATTACAGTTCTTCCATGGCCTTCAAAATCTCCGGATCTTAACCCAATTGAACATTTGTGGGACCAATTGGATCAACGTGTACGGCGCCGACAGCCGCAACCACAGACACGTCAACAGCTTGTCGATGCGTTACAGGATGAGTGGAGAAGAATCCCACAACGGCGGATCCGACGTCTTATACAGTCTATGCCAGGCGATGCAGACCAGTGATTGAGGCTCGTGGTGGTCACACCAGATACTGACTTTGTGACTGTGCCATCAAAAACAGAGACTCTCAATACCACTGTGAATTACTGTTTGTTTTTGGATACACAAGTCCCAATACCTGTGTGAATTTTTATTGCTCTATTATCATTACTATTTGTGTAATTTAAGTTATTAAAGCAGCACTGGTAACACTGGATTTTCACCTATGCGTTTCTTTTTTGGGCCAGTGTATTTGTTCTTTTGTCTTTTGCTATCTATCTATCTATCTATCTATCTAGTATCTATCTATCTATCTATCTATAAAATATTTGTTGAGCGCTAGGATCTGGTAGAACCACCCAAAAGCGCTACACTGAGCAAGGAACTGGCAGTTGACAAAATTGTCAAAGGTCCCTGTTAATTGAGGAACACTGTATGCCTTTCCGGGAAATGTATGTCTTTAGATTTGCTTTGAACGAACGCTGACAGTTCATGATGTGACCTCAGGCTGAATGGCAGACTGTTCAACATCTGTCTCCAAATGTTCTGGTTTTGTTGGAGGGGACACAGAGAAGCAGTTGATCTTATGACCGCAGCTGTCGTATTGCCTGGCAGAGTTTATTTACTGAGGTCTGCGAGATATGCTTGAGCGAGTCTATGTAGACATTTGAACACCATCACTAGTATTTTGGAACCAATCATGTATGTCACAGGTATCCAGTGGAGCTGATGCAGTGATGTATTCCCTTCCTCCAGTGCGCATGGTGGCTCTTGCTGCTCTATTGTGGACTCTGGGCGGTTTCTTAATTAGAGAATCCGGGTGAGGTGAGGTGAGGTGAAATTGGGTTTAACGTCGTGCTTGAGAATATTTCGCTCATATGACGACGTGCATGCGTGTGTATGTGTATGTGCAGCTGCTTGTACTAGCCCAGACTTAAGCTGGTTTTATAGTGCTAGCACACTGAGATACCATGCCGCAGTGACTGACTGACTGACTGAGTTTGGTTTTACGCCGCTTTTAGCAATATTCATTACACTGATTCAGAGCTGACCAAATCCCCACTTGTACCCATTAATGCCAGAGCCGCCAGGCCTTGTTGTACCAAATGCAAGCGCCGAGCCATATTTTAACGTCTTTTAACGCGTATCACGCGGCCGGGGATCGAACTCACGACCTTCCGCTCTCCGGGCGGACGCTCTAACCACTACACCACGGAGGCGGTTTTTGGATCATTTGGTTGCAGATATCTGAGAATCATGCTGATCTTATACTGAACTGTTTTTCGCGATCTTTTCTCAACACGCACATTGACAGTGAACATTACTCCGAAAGGGTCTGATATTATTGAGTGGTCAAGGCTGATGTTCTTGACTGTCAGATGATTTTTACGCACAGACAAGGTCAAGGATATGTCCATGTATATGGGTGGGCCCCCTGATGACTTGTAGCAAATTATGTGATTCCAGGAGGGATATAGATTGCCGGGTATCCTTGTTGCGTTTAACGTCAAGGTGATAGTTGAGATCTCCACAGATTAATAGCCGACCAGAATTCCTATTTGGGGGTCTATAAACTGAGATCAAATTCAGATTCTGGTTAATCGATGTGTGTGGTAACATTTCAAAGGAAGTCTGATCCCTGCCAAGGTTGAGTTGACGACATGACAGCCTGTCACTATATACCGCACCGACACCGCCGCCTTTTCTGTATCTCCTGGCTATGTGGGTGCATCTGTTGCCTTTAGGTACAAGCTTGGAGGTCGTGACATTGTCAACGTCGCCATTAGTCAACCAGGTTTCCGTGATTGTTAACATATCCGAGTTATTAAAGAGGACAAGTTCAGAAAGTGACTGGGCTTTATCGTTGTCACGGGTGTCAGTTTTGACAGATCTAGCAATAAGTGGACATATTTTGAGAACATGGTCCTTGTAGGTCTTTTGAACACTTTTGTCTGGTGGTGCTTTTTTAGCCCCAGCTGTCTTGACTCCGCCCCGGCCTCCACGGTGAGTCCGTTTAACACTACAAATTCCAAGGTATCTAAGAGCATGGAGAGTACTCACGGGAATATTTCTGATTTCTTCATTTTGTGATAGCGGGAACAGGGGTGAATATGACAGCTTAGTTAGTAACAACATCTACACAGACTGTCGTATTGAGTACTCCATGTTAGGTGAAAATTGGAAAAACTATTGTCAATCACTGAAGTACACTGTATAGCTGAGAACAATAGGCTAAGCCTGAGACAGTCACTCGGTTTGGGTCTTGATTGGTCATGTTGGAGTTGATTTGAAATCTTGAATCTGTTTTCATAATAACGTCAAAATGGAAAATATTTTTTACAAATTTAATTAAAAGGAAAGAGTCCACAGTACTTCTTGGATAACCATACCACATTTCAGTCAGATCTGAGACCTATGTCACAAGATGTTCAACAGACCAGTCAGAGCTCATGTTTGATGTGGTGCCCATGTGATGCCTGATTGCATAGAACCTGAGGTGTGTTGATGCTGAGAGGAAGCCGAATAAAGGTTTTGAGGAAGACATGTGACATCATGTTGTCAGTCGTACATGATATCAAGAATTGACAAACAATAGTTTTTCTCGCTGATGAATAAAATGACCTGTTATGACCATTATATCCTACTCCTGTAACCCATGCTTCTAAGAGGCGACTAACGGGATCGGGTGTTCAGGCTCGCTGAAAAATAGTACCACCAAAAACACCCTCAAAAACAACAAACAAAGCCCTGAAAGATTTGCAGATGCGACCTAAAAATCAGTGATGACACCCGGTGTTCGTGCATTTCCTGCTCCACCCACGACGTGCATCTATATAGAACAAATACGACACAGTGGCACTTAGTGGTTAAAACTCCATGCGACCCGTGGCGGTCCGGGTTAGAATTGATCTTTAGTATCCCATGCTTGTCGTAAGAGGCGACTAACGGGATTGGGTGGTCAGGCTCGCTGGCTTGATTGAAACATGTCATCGGTTCCAAATTGCACAGATCGATGCTCATGCTGTTGATCACTGGATTGTCTGATCCAGACTCGATTATTTACAGACCGCCGCCATATAGGTGGAGTGCGGCTTAAAACTAAACTCACTCACTGTAAAAGATCAACCTTTATTACGATTATTGTACACAAGTCCAGGTAACACGCTGAATATGGATATTCAGCTGTTTCTTTGCTCATCATTTTACAAATCCGAATACGAAGTACCTGAACAAGCAATGATGTTCATAATACAGGATGGTAACAAGTCGATGGAACTTTGTTTGAATCAATGACATTTGATAAAATATTAATGAGATACAGTTCTGGTAACTGAATACAATTGAAACATTTTATGGTATTAGAAAGATATTATCTTTCATAATGTTTGCAGAATGATATGTTTTAAAACATGTTAAATTTTCCTTTCAATATCGGATGCTATTCCATGTTAGTGACGTTTTAGTTGATATGGGATGTTTTATGTCTCTTCGATTAATATATTATTGACGGAAATGTCACATTTCAGTGAGTATTTGAGTGAGTGAGTGAGTGAGTTCAGTTTTACGCCGCACTAAGGAATATTTAAACTATATGGCGGCGGTCTGTAAATAATCGAGTCTGGACCAGACAATCCAGTGATCAACAGCATGAGCATCGATCTGTGCAATTGGGAACCGATGACCTGTGTCAACCAAGTCAGCGACCCTGACCACTCGATCCCGTTAGTCGCCTCTTACGACAAGCATGGGTTGCTGAAGGTACATTCTAACCCGAACCTTCACGGGTTACTCATTTGGGATACGATGACCTGTGTCAACCAAGTCAGCGACCCTGACCACTCGATCCCGTTAGTCACCTCTTACGACAAGCATGGGTTGCTGAAGGTACATTCTAACCCGAACCTTCACGGGTAACAGACATTCCACGCGTCTTGCCATGTACAACTTATGTGAAACACTTGTCCTTGTTGTCAATCAACCCTAGAAATAACTCACCTTTTGCTGTTGAAGTGGTAAGTTATCACCAATGTCAATCATGAAGAAGTGAACGAATTCATCTATATTGGCATTTATTAAATGTATTTTTACATTAAACATATATGTATATATGCAAATATGAAAATGGAAATATGAGCAGAAAATACTGTTTAAAAACTTCATTTATATATACATGGTTATTTACACTTAAATCAACTGTTGTATATATACATATTGAATGGCGTCATCGTCAAAGGCAACAGTGCTAATGGGTTATCTCCCTTCCGGAAGAAGGCACATCTGGACCTTGGTACTTCCAGCAAATAAGGACACCTATCAATCGGCGATGATTGATGTGGGGATATTTGATTTGAAATAACGATCAACCAAAGACTGTACATTTAAAAAGATTGACATATTTCAACAATAATGCTAAACAGTGTTCATCTTTGGAAACTTGAGGAGTGGAGTGAGCAATGTTGTTTTACCAATAATCTACCTCAGATAGAATGACTGAGACTGCATTTGCTCCAGTTGCATTGAATAACAGGTACACTGATCCCGGCGACATTTGCCTGGCCTGGATGTACCCCGGATGTGTTCCGAGTGTACCACGGGTCACCCCGGATACAATTGACCTTGACTGGTTGACCTTGAGTGCATGAATTGATACATTGACCTCCGAGGCATTGGTCAGGAGAACATCTAATCTAAGATTCATTGACCGAGGGTGTATTGATGTCGGATTCATTGACCGAGGGTGTATTGATGTCGGTTTCATTAACCAGAGTGTATTGGCCTCGGATGCATTGGACACAGACGCATTGACCTTGGGGATGCATTGGACACAGATGCATTAACCTTGGGGATGCATTGGACACAGATGCATTAACCTTGGGGATGCATTGGACACAGACGCATTGACCTTGGGGATGCATTGGACACAGATGCATTGACCTTGGGGATGCATTGGACACAGATGCATTAACCTTGGGGATGCATTGGACACAGATGCATTAACCTTGAGAACAATGAAATCAGATGCATTGACCACGGAAAAATTGAAAGCAAAATGCATTGATCGAGGGTGTTATGACCATGGGTGCATAGACATACATTACATTAACTCCGGATGTTAGTACACGCCAGAACAACGCAAATATATAAACATATTCAAGAGGACCTTCAGAGTTTAATTAATGTGCAATAAATACGATATCGTAATATCAAGTCTTGTCAATTTACACACTATATGCTTCAGAGAGGTCAGTGAGTATTAGTGGTATGGGGGAAGGGTGATTGCTGTAGAGGTCCAATCATTGCATAGATTTACTGTGATCACAGGGAAACACATGACGTCAGCAGGATATAATGATCATGCGCTGGATATACAGGAAGCTACAGGGTTTTAGCGCATCTTGACGTAAGGATCTTGCCAAATGTTCAAATAGAACAGTAACCTACGAAGTTGCGATTCCCTACTCCAGGGTCCAACGTTGACGTAATTTTGTCAGCGTCGGTTAAAAGTAAAAGAGGTAGTGTAGTTTGTTAATAGTTTGTGGTTAATGATAATAGGCACTACATGTTTGTATCATATATTTGTTACACCAATATCACTCATTTGAGACATTATTATAATACCAAGTTATCTCCCCTTGAAAGGCTTTAATACTCCGTTAATGAGACACGAGACATATATATATATTGTGCTATACAGTTCAATGCACAATTAAATATTACCGGACATTAGGGTCGGTGACAAAGGTCATGTATATGAGCATATATCACAGAATGTGAAAATTAGAGACAATTACGAAATCAGGAGGGGATTGAACGACTGGAGGAATGGGGTGAAGGGAAAGGGGGTTGGTTGGGTGGACCCCAGACCTAATAGCCTGGGTCTGCGTATAGGCGGCGTATCCAAGCCATCAGATCTCTTCGTCCTATATCTACTCTATCTCGTCATTTCTGATTACATTACTCTAATCAATGTCTCTACAATGTACAAAACAGTCACCTACATCTCATCCACACACATATTGCATAGCGGCATCACTCGAGATCTTCCAACAGAGTTATCTCCCCGTAGTGCCAGGAATGTTCATGACGTAAATATCTGTGACCTTGAACTTCTTATCACCTGTATGATTATTCCTTCATTAATGGAAGCATCAAAACTCTTTCATCTCGTCATGACTATTGTAACCATCTTGAAGCAGCTCACGACCACACAACTGTTAGTCCCAGAAAATCAGGAAGTTACTTTGGTATTCTTTTGACGTCAGGATCCAGGGACGTCATTTCTTTATCTGCAGGAAAGTATCTAATGACGTTAAAACCTGGATACGCCTGACTTTGTCATGGAATGGCAGTATACGGTAAAAGATGTGACGTCATCACATTTTGTTCGTAACGTAATTATGACGTCATTTAATTGTTCCTACACATCACCAAGTATGACGTCATTAAAGTCTCGTCTCCCACGCTTCCTGGTCCTCGTTGTAGAGTGTCATGATGTTGTCATGGTAGAATACCACTGCATTGTTGGTGAACCCAGCACGTTCACTTCCGGGACGACCATTTCGCAACTGTAACATATACCACGTACAATGAAAAGCGAAATTACAATCATCTCACCTACAGCAATGACCGTGTTTTCCACAGCTTCTAGAAATGAAAATGAACATCAATGTTTCGTTCAACACGACTATTTTACCCAGGAAACCAGTTGAGATAAAAATATAAACTAATGGTTAAACGAGTTTAATGACTATAGTCTGTTTGCGGTGTAAACGTACCGATGAATTCCACTTTAAACAAAATGTAAATCAAATAAAGTGAAATTAAGATTGCGAATCCTCATAATTTTACCATGCCATTTCAATATTTAAATCTCAGATATTTATTTAACTTAGGATAAAAGTTGTTTAACAGACGATCATAATTTCAAATCGGTATTATTGGTTTGTATTACAAGGGGTATGCACATTAAATGAAACACCGAGAACAAGGAGGGTTGGTCTAAGTTAACACTCATCACGTACCGCACGTGCATTTGTTTCACTGTTCCAACTACTGCGCTTACCCCCTTGTAATATACAAACCAATATAAGCGATTTGAAACAATGATCGTTTGTTAAACAACTTTTTTCCTAAGTTGAATAAAAATCTAATATTTAATTTTTAAATTGGCAAGGTAGAAATATGAGGATTCGCAATCTGAATTTCACTGTATTCGATTTACATTTTTGTTTAAAGTGAAATTCAACGGTACGTTTTCACTGCAAACAGACTATAAGGTCTCATAACGTTTTTATACATGCCATATACATGAGAATAGAACAGGCTGTAGGTAATTATAACAGCTGTACACAATACAACAACGCATTTAATTAAATATAAATATAACAGAGATATGTATAATGGAAGTGGAGAATCCATTTTATTTAGATATAAAGAGATACCTCATCTCCAGATAGGAGCTCGAGATAAAAGTCTCTGTTTTCTCTGATACAGATTTCACTGGGTACGGAATGCTCACTGCAAGGTATAATAGCGGTCTACTTGTACAAACGGTCTATCACCCTTTATGTTTAACACTTCTGTTTAGGTACCCCCCACGGTATATGTAGAACTATGTAGCTATACTATAGCAAGTACAACCATACTACGAGTATTGCTGGGTACTACTGTTGGCCATGCATCTCTCGTAATGGAGCACTGAAGAATAAGCCGTTGGTATGAAGAATAACTGTACGATACAACACTACTCCACTGAGGAAAGGACGAGGTAGGATAGCAAGACAATGAACAGTGTACAGACAATATATAAATGGTTGAGTGAGTGAGTGAGTTTGGTTTTACGCCGCACTCAGCAATATTCCATCTATATGGCGGCGGTCGGTAATTTATAGAGTCTGGACCAGACAATCCAGTGAGCAACAGCATGGACATCCATCTACGTAATGTGGGATACTATGATAGGTAAAATAAGTGAGTGAGTTTAGTTTTACGCTGCACTAAGCAATATTCCAGCTATAAGGCGGCGGTTTGTAAATAATCGAATCTGGACCAGACAATCCAGTCAGCAACAAAACAAAATGAGCATCGATCTACGCAATTGGGATACGATGACATTACACTGTCATGTGTGAACCAAGGCAACGAGCCTGACTGACTGACTGACTGAGTTTGGTTTTAAGCCGCTTTTAGCAATATTCCAGCAACATCACGGCGGGCAACGAGCCTGCCCACCAAATACCGTTATTCGCCTCTTACGACAAGCATGGGTTACTGAGGATCAGTTCTCAACAGGATCTTCACTGGTATAAAATGGTTGATACCATACTGACGTTTTACATTACATTGTAAGGACAGACGGAAGAGAAGAATCCCTCCACATTTACTCATTGACATCGCATAAAATCCCGAGAGGCTTACTGCGATTACCTGATTTTTAAAATGATATTATGTTATATTAATTACGTGTCATTCCAGGGATGACGGTTGTCATTAAAGTGGTTAATCAACAAGTTAGGTTTGGTAGTATTGAACTCATTAGAAAACGACGGTCGCTGCCTGTCTGTTACGTCATTATTTTGATTTCTTCAGAAACCATTTTAGAGGCGAGTTAAGCGGGTTAGATGTCAAAGTGTGATATCACCTGAAAAACAACCAGAGTTTGTCAACAACACCTAGCCAGGTTCCGTCTATCGTTACCGCTGTCTGCACCGACTGTTGGCTTTGCATTTTAAACTGTGATTGGTCGACTGGTGCGAGGTGATACTGTTTTACGTCTTTTCTAAACAAATCCCCGAAAACGCCCAGTCACGTGACAGAACGGGGCGCCATAACGTGGTCGAAATATTTTATCCACAAGGGGATTCGAACCTCGGTTTGCAGGCTGGCGATCTAACCCTTTGACCTCAAATATATCACCTGACATCTCGCAGACGGATCCCAGCTAAATACGTGCGGACAACTGACACAGCTTAACTGTTGATAGACTGGAAGGTATGATCCCCCATGTATTGAATATGTATCACATTTACTGCTATCATCACAGTCGGAGCATATTGCCTTGCGGAACGGACATCAGGAACCAGTTTAATGCAAAATTCATAACTTGTGCATCTAACTACCAATACAAATCACGTGATTACAACGACGGGTTAGTGAAGGGTGTTTGTTCTTCGTCTGATTCAGGCAGTCTGGCATTTGACACACAGGATACTTGCTTTTAAAGTGGGATGTTAATAGAATAGGCAAAAGAAATGCTGAAAATAAGCAAGTAAAATTCAGAATAAAAGTTTAGTTCCTTTCAGTGTCATAACGCCTGACGTACGTAACGACGCCCACTTTGAGCAACGTCATGTGCGACGTGACGTATTGCGTGAATCAGCGAAGGGGAGTTAGTGCTACGACATACACCAGGTTCGACTACGATACTTACACCATCAAGTCTTGCACACCACTTACTCAAAGTGATGTGGTTCGTTGCTAAACAAATAAGGAATGTGACGTCATGCATTGTATACAATGAAAGGGAGGTAACTGTACCAGAACAGACCAGGTGGCTTTGGGAAGCGGTGAAGGCATTTGGGAGATCGAAACAGAATGTCGATTTCGAATTTCATTGAAGGATTTTTTCGTTTCTCTGCTTTCCAGAATAATGATTAATGAACATTTAGATTTCTACATATACTGAAGGTCAAAAGAAAATATGCACCCATGTCCTATCGTGGCTACCCATGGAGTAAACAACGGTTATTCGATGATGAAATATATAAACGATAGTTTTGGACCACAAGTCCAACGTTTCGACAATTATTTTCAGCCTTGAAATGCTTTGAAAATCTTTGTGAATTTTCAAGAAAGTACCTTTTACTTTTTTGCCAAATCCATTTTCAAAGAAAATACTGTCGGTTTTCCGACAGCATTGTATCAACTGTATTGTGATGTAGTGATCACCACGTGTAGGTCTCATATAATCAGTCTCACATTGTTTTGTCAAACAGTATCTATAATATCATTCCCTTCCTGCACTGCCTGGTCTGATCATATGTATGTCTCCACTAATATCCCATGCTTGAAGTCAAGCGTGAACATCCGGGAAAGATGGTTGGAATGTATGCGAGTGAGTGTTGTTTTACGCCGTATTTCAGCCATATCACCGAGGAGGACAAACCGAGTTTGTATTTCACCCTGAGAAACAAACCCGGGTCGTTGATGTGGTGAGCAAAGGCTTAACCACTTTCCCCCGGCACTCCTCCTTGAGGTTCACATTTCCAACCATCTTGTTCCACGAAATGACAAAGCATGAAGTGCCCGTCACAACTGCAAACGCACAAACAGGAAAATAACCTCGCTATCTTGTCGGATCGCCATGCATCTAGCGCTGTACTACAAGCATCTGTGCGCAGGATTGAGGGCGGGAGGGAGATGTGAAACACAGGTGGCTGACTGTGCGAGGATAATAATTCCGGCTATCACCTCGAACAGGTAAACCCGGGGATGATAGTGTGAGCACCGACCCACGTGTTACTGTTGTTTTCCACCGCAGTCAACAATATTTCAGATGTTTGATGGTGGCTTGTATCTATCCGAGTGGTTGACAACTGGTGGTTGACAAGCAACGCTTATTTGGCCGGCGCACGATGATGGTTACACTGTAACCATCCGATCCTCATTTCAGTCAAATGTCACGCTGTGTTGCTGGGCTGCTTTTCCCATCGAAACCAAGGGGAATCCCGATAACGGAATCCCATACAACAATACGCAAATCCCTCCAAATTCGAAGGATACAGCAATCAACCCGAGGAATACCCAAGGGAGTCAACCCGCCAGTATAATACAAACCCAAGTCAAACCTGAGACATCCCCATACCAGACAATTACCAATCAAAACAAAATATCAAATGATAGAGGCCATTTTGACCACCTAATACCCGGTGAACTCGGCAGGGTGGTAGGGTGGCATGGCAGCGTTGTAGAAGACATCAGACACATTTGGGTTTGAATCTAACACGCGTTAGCTACGTCAATAAACACAAGTACAGCATCCATCATGTTGATATCAATATCTACAACATTCATCACACACTCTCTACCCTTTGTTGCCGAGCAACATTCGACATTGACACGGACATCTACTGCAAGACATGTTCAGAATCGTCTACACATAATCCACGCATTCCAAAGGCGTGTAACTCTAAAGAACTAATTGGGCGCTTTAGAAGTCTGCGCCACCGATGCCATAAGGCAAACAGAACGTGCACTAATGACGGAACATCTAGACACAATCTACATCTACATCCAGTCAACCCCCATTACACCCACTACTGAGAAAAATCAGTCAAGGTTAATCAAGAAAAAAACACTCTCGCAAGTTACCCAGAAACCCATCAACTTCCCTGTTGACTTTTTGTCGTCTGGCATTGCCAAGCAATACGTTATTCTCCAAACTGACTGCGTCACACATGTGGACTTCACCTCTACCCTCATCCAAAACATTATCCATGGGTATAGATAATCATCTCCAAATAGACCCTACCATATTCCAGCTTACCATCCAATCACATTACACACATCCCTATCCATCGTGCATGCCCCCAATCCCCTCCTCATCTCATCACATCCCTCTCCCCGTGTTCAGAGTAACCAGCTCACCTGATCTCTAGGTAGTGTGTCGGTCATGTCGTATCTGACGGGCGCGTCTTTTCCGTTTTCGTTGCTCTCGGGAACCGCCATTTTGTTGTCGTAGGCGTATTCGTGAGGAGAGTCAGCCCAGGTGCGCCTGTAGCCGATGTCGTCGGGATCTTCCTCCATCCTGTACTTCTGCCGTGTGTGACGGCGGGAACACTGAAGGAAACACAATTTTGGTAACTCCAGTGTAAAACTCAAAAGGCGTACCAAGGGCGGCGGGTTAAGTATTATCGTAGTAGGAGTAGGACTGCACGGTATTACCGATGTACCTGTATATCACAATAAGCATTTCAAACGATACGCATTACAATATTCTTCTGACACCCGGTATTTTTGGTAAAGACCATATATGGAGTTTTGTGATCATCTTTGTAGTTTAAATTAAAATCTACAGACTTTCATTCAGAACAAATGTTTTCCTTCGTTATTCAATGATAGAGAGGCATATTGTATTGTGTAATACTATATACATTGTATAAAACAGAACACAGAATCCCTGACTATGCAACCTAATTTTGTGATTGCAGTTATCAGAACCACAACATGTTGCTTAAGAACTTATAATTAGTGTCACTCACTGTCAAACACTTAAGTTCCCAATATATCGCGGTATGTATCGCAATACGAATACCCAAATCGCAATATATTGCAATACAATTTATTTGGCAATAGGTATAAGTATTTTCTAAGTGTTGTATTCGTGGTTGGACGTAAAGACATATGATATTTATTGGCAGGAAAATGGCAATATTACGCTTCCATGGAAGTCATCTAAAATGGAGTGAGTGAGTGAGTTTAGTTTTATTCCTCACTCAGCAATATTCAAGCTATATGGCGGCGGTCTGTAAATAATCGAGACCAGACAATCCAGTGATCAATAGCATGAGCATCGATCTGCGCAATTGGGAACCGATGACATGTGTCAACCAAGTCAGCGAGCCTGACCACCCGATCCCGTTAGTCGTCTCTTACGACAAGCATGGGTTACTTAAGGAACATTTTAACCCGGACCTTCAACGGGTTTAAATCTTCTGATAACATCGTGCAGGATACATCACAGTGATATGTGTTGAAAGTAGTTCGACCTTGGGAACCTTATTTGGTATTATGCAATACGGTGTAAAGTTTTTTTTATATCAGTAACAGTGTTCAGTCTGAAAAAGAAAGAGATGGCAGGTGTCCCCAACTGACCAGGACGCAGATCATGAAGATGAGGAAGATGAGGAGGATGGAGCCGCACACGATGACGGCGATAGCCCAGTTGGGGAATTCGTCTTGGGGGACAGGTGTTGGAGCAGGTGTCGTTGTCGTTGGTGGCGCCGTTGTCCTCGGTACCACTGCAAGGATTGACGTTAGAGAATGAACGAAGGCAAGACAAACCATGCCATGACTGACATGAGGTGAGGTGAGGGAGTGAGTTTAGTTATACGCCGCACTCAGCGGTAGTCTGTAAATAATCGAGTCTGGACCAGACAATCCAATTCCAACAGCATGAGCATCGATCTACGCATTTGGGAAACGATGACATGTGTCAACCAAGTCAGCGAGCCTGACTACCCGATCCCGTTAGTCGCCTCTTACGACAAGCATAGTCGCCTTTTGTGGCAAGCATGGGTTGCTGAAGACCTATTCTACCCCGGATCTTCAAGGGTCGACTGACAAAAGAGAATTAAGAGAAGATAGTGACGAATCGGGTATTGCAAGTATGATAACACAGACAATATTAAACATTTGACCATCCAGGATGAAGATCCAGGATCATGATACATGATTCAAACATGTCTCCCTTCAGATATTTGTAAAATGACTGTCGAATCTGGTCATTTGTTGTGATGGAGGCGTACATCCAACGTTCCTCACCTTCATGGCTAACGGTAGCGTTGTTGATGGTGTAGTTGCCCAATTTGTTGCCGTCACTGAGTCCGTCTAAGAAAGCTTTTGTTACACTGTCGCCGGTCACGTTGTTGCTGCTGTTGAACTCCGCCGTGTAACTGACGACGATGCTGCCTTGGCTAGAGACATACAAGGTTAAATAACATTGAGAGATTATAGGCATTGAATATGGTTTTACGTCGCTTTCAGCACTTATCTCAGACATTCACCACTTCGGCAAAATCATATATGATGCTTACAAACACGAAATCAAAGGTTTCTTGCGTGTCCAAGGGACGTAACTCTTCACGGCCAATTGCAGCGCTTCATACTATTTGGCACAGTGGTTCGAATCATTTTGTGGACAATATTTTTAGAAATACAAATCTAGATCACCTGAATGTCATGACGGAGATCCCCTGGTACAGTCCCTTCAGACTACTGGTCATGTACAGGCCATCCAGCTGGAACAACAAGGGAAACATGTCTACACACAGAACATGAGAAGCAGGACGTGCTGGAGACTTTCTTCAGGTAACTATTTCTCTTTGTGTTTTTTGTTCCTTTACAACATATTTTTCAAAGGTAATATTGCTGTAGTATATCGAACGTACAATCTAGGAGTGAGTGAGTGAGTCTACAAAGCTTTCAGCAATATTCCAGCTATATGACGGCGGGGGACACCAGAAATGGGCTGTACATGTTTAGATACTTTACGATTTAATCATATTACATATATTTTCACAGCTTCATATCCCATAAATTAACCTGTTTCTAAAGATAAAGACATTTCATAATTTTTAAATGTTATATAAATCCATTGTTTCTGGTACAAAATAGGTTATTATATACAGTGTAATTATAATTACAATATTTCCAAGCTTCCCAGAAGATTTGGTGGCAATGTTTGAAACCCATTTCTACTGTCCCCCGCAGAGATATTGCTGGACTGACTGACTGAGTATGGTTTTACGCCGTTTTCAGCAATATTCCAGCAATATCACGGCGGTGTACACCAGAAATGGGCTTCACAAATTGTACCCATGTGGGGAATCGAACCCGGGCCTTCGGCGTGACGAGCGAACGCTTTAACCACTAGGCTACCCCACCACCCCAGATATTGCTGGAATATTAAAAAGCGGCATCAAGATAAACTCACTCACTCATTTCGTGGTCAATACCTTATGCCAAAGAGAGCAGTCACAGATTCGACAGCATAAGTGTGCGCGTCTCCTGTCATATCATGGTGGGTTTAAAGCGCTTTGCTATTGTGCTGTTTGACTTACCTTTTGTTGGAGATCCTGCTTCAGGTTCAGGTACTGAGGGGAGGACATGTTCAGAAGTTCCTCGGTGAAGTTGCGACCCTCAACGATGGAGAACGTGCCTTCCACATCCATTACCGGTGCTGCTGTGGTTGTTGGAGCAGTCGTGGTAGTAGGTGTCACCATTGTAGAGGATGTCATCACCTCTGTTGTTGATGGAGAAATGGACGAAGTGGAGCTGGTTGGTGCCAACACAGGACTTGAAGAGGACATTGATGAGGAGGACATTGATGATGGAAGCGGTTCAGCTGAAGATGTCATACTGGCGGTTGTAGTCATAGCAACAGGCAAGCTTGAAATCTCCACTGAAGGCAAGGGTAATAGCGTCGATGAAGATGGTGGAGTAGAGGACATCGAATCAACCATTGAACTCGTCATCATGGGTGGTGCGCTACTGGATTCAACCATTGAACTTGTAACGACACCTATTACACTGCTTGATTCAGCCATTGAACTTGTAACGGCAACAGGTGCGCTGCTTGATTCAACCATCGAACTTGTAACGGCAACAGGTGCGCTGCTGGATTCAACCATTGATTTTGTAACGACAACAGGTGCACTGCTTGATTCAACCATCGAACTTGTAACGGCAACAGGTGCACTGCTTGATTCAATCATTGAACTGGTAGCGACACCTAGTACACTGCTTGATTCAACCATTGAACTTGTAACAACACCTAGTACACTACTTGATTCAACCATTGATTTTGTAATGACAATAGGTGCGCTGCTTGATTCAACCATTGAACTTGTGACAGCAACTGGTGTACTGCTTGATTCAACCATTGAACTTGTAACAGCAACTGGTGCACTGCTGGATTCAACCATCGAACTTGTAACGACAACAGTTGGACCGCCTGACTCCATCACGGGACTGGTCGATTCGATTGCGTAGGATGCAATATACGTTGTTACACTCAGTGAGTCCACTGAAGACGATGCTTCCAAAGGTGTCTTGGCTAAGGATGGGTGCATGCTGGACATTTCACTAGACATTCCTGACGCTGCAGGCACACTCGTGGAGGAGAACTCGGGAACAAACACCCCAGACGTAGGCGTTGATGAGGACGTTGCTGCGACGGTGCTGGTGGCAGGCGGGACGACCACGACAGAGGATGACGAGTCCGTGGGTGGGATGCTGGGTACAGCGCTGAAGGATGAGGAATCCGTGGGCAACAGAACTGACTCAGATGACGACGACATCATTGTCTGCGACTGCATTACTTTTGTGGAGACTGGCAGGGCTGACGTTGGAGGCTGTATTTCCATAGATGTCGTTTCTATAGCAACAGGAGTCGACGAGGACATTGGGAGTGAAGACGCCTGGGCAACCTGACCTGTTGTGATGGGAGGGGTAATGATGACAGGAACGGATGACGTCACAGAAGACATGATGCTTGAGTGTGTAGGCATCGTAGGCATGGCTGTTGCTGAGCTGACCATGTCTGTCGCCATTTGTGTGTAACCGATGTTCTCCGACATAGATTGCGTAGACACTTGAACTAATTCTGATGCTGATGATGAAGGATATGTTAATGAAGACGGAAGGAAATCCAAGACCGGTGTAGACACAAACGTGGAGGTAGTCACGTGGGGCTGTACATAGTCGCCGGAACTTGAGGTCGCTGAGGCACTGTAGGACGATTCAGTTGCCATGACGTAGGACGATTGTTCCATAGTTTGAGATGTTGCCATATGGTCTGCAGATGACGGTTGGACAACAATAATTCCACCGTCCGTTGACATACCAGAAGATGTTTCCATAAGCCCGGCTGACGTACTAGCAGATGACGTTGCCATGACTTGACTTGTGGCCATCACAGACCCAGATAACTGTTGCGTGGCTGCAAGGGTGGAATCGGACATCATGACAGCTGACGATGATTCCATGGAGGAATATGCCTCGCTGGGATATCCAGCCACAGCAGATGTTGTGACCATCTGCGACATGTCCTTACTACTTGCTACCGGCTTCAACTCTTCACTCGATGACACTGACGACAAAACGGAGCTGGACACAGAAGATGACATTTGTGCCACAACTGACACACTGCTGGTCGACACAACAGACATTTTCTCTGAACCTCCTGGCGTCACGGCTAAACGTGATGAAGACATGGGTGTCTCCGTCGTAGATGTTTCTAATGGCCGTGTTGCGTCAACTTGCGGTAGTGCTGGTGTTGCTGAAAACTGACTAGATTCAACAGACATTGTTGCTACTGCCTTTACTGTAGACGATTCCATGGTTGGCGATGTGGAAGGAGCCTGTGCTGAGGACTGGGGAGATGAGGTCACTGCTGAAGGAACGACCACAACAACGGGTGTACTTGAGTCAGGTAGAGGTGTTGAGGGTGGTGTGATTTCACTGGACGATGTTGCAATGGCAGCAGGTGACGAGGACGAAAGTGAAGCTGAGCTTGTAGGTACAACTTGACTAGAAGACTCCTGCAATGCTGATGCTGATATTGCGTGACTAGACGTTTCAACACCGGGCGCTGGTCTGGACACTGGTGTTGCAGACTGTGCAGAACTGGACTCCAAAAGAGAAGACGAAGATGAAGACACTATCATGGACGAAGACATGGACGTGGTCTGCATGTCCACAACACTGGATTGACTTGTTGAAAGCATAATATCACTCGATGTCACTTGTTGGTTTGAACCTTGCACTGATGAAGACTGGACATCGACAAACCCAGCTTCTAAAGATGTTACCACCACTGCTTGGGATGATGATGGTGCGAGTGCTTGTTCAGATGTTGACTCCAGCTGCATCACAGATGATGACGCTTCTGCCATGGAACTTGATTGATCAGCCTGACTAGAGGTTCCGAGGGCACCTGCATCTGAGACACGTGATGATGCGGCTGCATCAGGTACAACACTTGAGGAGGGGAGCACTGGGGAAGCAGAGCTGGAGGCTGCTGCTGCTGCTGTTGCTGCTGCAGACAAGGTTGAGGTGGACATCAGGTACTCGGACGAGGACACTTTATCTCCAGTCATCGATGAGGAGACTGGTCCTTGGGCCTGCAAAGATGAAGTTGATGTTGACTCAGTTGACGATGAAGAAATAGCTTGGTATGAGCTTGATGAGCTTGCTGAGCTCGATGTTGTCATCTCAGACTGTTGCATTGAGGACGAGACTTGAGTGAGAGTTACATTAGTCACTTCGCTGATCATTGTAGTCGTTATCTGCGATGTAGACGTTGACTCCACGACGACTTCCTGAGACGAAGAGGGCATAATGGAGGAAGACGACATTGCTGACGTTGATTCTAACAGTACAGTCATGGTCGCTGACGTCGTCGAAATCTGGCTTGACGTGAGTGCAACTGAAGGAAATGGACAAAATACATTCATATGAAACTGCTATTGATAGGTTTCGAGTGCAAATATCAGTAGGAGTCTGCGATGTGGAAATATAGTGTTGTTAGCTCTAAATGTGACCAATCGAATACATACTTCACAAATTTAGAAAAATACCACAATCTTTGGCAGTTTATGTTGGATAGTCCACAGTCACACATGCCGAAATGGGTATTCTTCGAACATCCAAAGGTTTATATCCAACCCTTATATCGAGATAATGGAATTTGAGTTAACCAAATCTCACTCAGTACCAAAAGAATCAACACAGAGAGACCGAGGTAAGGCTCCGTGCAATTAGTATTCGTGGTGGGTTGGGTTGGGATTTTTAATTTGAATAATTTCTGCAACACAATACTTGAAAAATATTATCATATGCTTCTCCTGCCGTGATATTATTGGAATATTGCTAAAAGCGGCATAAAACCATACTCATTCACTCACTATTGCCATATGCCATAGTTATATATAAATACTTCTTATAATTTGGCAGCAGTTGAATACGTTTAAACTACTTACTTCTGATAGTGGCTGTCATGTTACACATGGAATGGCTACCAGGGTTCAAGGCCGTCTGAAGGTCGCCAAGGCTAGTTCCTGGCAGATGTATGGTTACATCGACGTCAATGCCATTCGGTAGTCCTTGGCTGAAACAAAATGTGACATTTTAAATTTATAGAAACGACAAACAGTGTGTCGGTTTTACCTACTTCTTAGATCCACTGCTCAACACCTCCACTGGTACTCACTAACATCATCATCATCAAACCCATTTCAGGAACTGGTACGGTGTTAAATGAACACTAGCTGTTCATCATCATCATCATCATCTCAGGCCTAAGAATACTTAGAAATTGCTGGTGTGCCCCCGCGTACACGATCGCTGTACCTAATTGTGCTAGGGCTACTAAAAAGGCTCTTCGACAACCATACAACTTCAAAACAAAAATCTTTGACATGAAATGGAATACGATGCACATTCTGAAAACATATTTATTCCTGGAACTGGTAACTTCCAGGGTGCGGTTGTACAAAGCGATCTTAGCACAAAGGTGATCGTAGCTTCCATACCTTAACATAGACTTACGATAGCCTTAGCACTAAGGTTGTTTTGTACAACGGCACCCAGGTTTGTAAGTTTGGTGTTTGGCTTAACTACATAGCACTGTATTATCTACGCTGGTAGAGCCAACTATTGGCGAACTTTGACTTCCTGACTCGGGGATAACGACGTCTCTCCTTCTTCACGGTTTGGGGCGGTGGTGTAGCCTGGTGGTTATGGCGTTCGCTCGTCACGCCGAAGACCCGGTTCGATTCCCCACATGGGTACAATGTATTAAGCCCATTTCTGGTGCCCCCGCCGTGATATTGCTGGAATGCTGCTAAAAGAGGCGTAAAATCCAACTCACTCACTCACTACTATTGCTGAATGAAGATGGAGATGGTAGACATGTAAGACATACGTTTGGTTGATTCCGCATGATGGGAACATAATGTAGAAATAGGAAAAGTGAATGAGTGTATCTTTGTTAAGTGACTCACTCACTCACTCACTCACTCTTCACGGTTTCCCCCACCTACCTGATCTGTGTCACAGCAACCCTCTCCACCTGCAGCGTCTCGTTCAGGTAACATGATAGCTGAAACAAAACAGACGTATTTCAAGTGAAACCAAACAGACAACAAGGATAGGATCCATTATGGATCTATTGTAATATATGTTCAGTCAAATATATGTATGAGTGAGCTTAGTTTTATGCCGCTTTTCGCAATATTCCAGCATTTTCACCGCTGGTGACACCAGAAATGGGCTTCACACATTATCTTACCTCACACATAAATGTCGCTTTCTGATTGGCTGAGCGCTCTTCTATTATTTTCATTGTACCCCGCTTACAAGAGAGTAACATTTCAATGTACCCCGCTGTCAATGGCAACTCATTTGGTACTTCGTGGTAGTAATTCTTTATCTCGAATTACATTGAATCACGTATGATGTACGGAAATTACCGATGTTTTGCGAATGCAAATCGAAGGAAGGGAGACCTTAATCTGTTTTTCTTAGATAAAATAAAAGCTAAATACGTTGTTCACTGGTCCCTCGGGGCCCATGGGTTGATGTACCCTCGATGTTTGTTTATATTCCTTGAGCCCCTATCGTGACCAGTCGAGAACTTATATTGTACCCATGCGGAAAATCGAACCCTGGTCGTTGGCGTGACGAGCAAGCGCTTTAACCACGAGGCTACCCCACCGCTCCAGTCAGACATGAACCATGTTTAGAGCGTCTGAATGTCACAGAATTGATGTAGGTGTCGGGAATGTACATTTAACAATATTCAGGTGGAAATTCTAAAGATAAGAATGGGATAATTGGAAAATGCCATTCACGATGATCAGACTTGCTGTGTTGTGGGTTTTTTTTGACAACACCATGACAATACCATGAGTTTTAGTTGAAACAAGCGGCGTTAAAACTGTGACATTTGTTCATATATGCGATAGTCTGAATTGCTTCCATAAATGTGGCTTAAACATCGGGTTTGTTCTGACAAGACTAAGTATTGATCGAAATAAATATTTCATTCAACTGGAATCCATCGAGTTTGCAGAAGGATGCGTTTTGTTTCGAATTTGGAATCAGCAAATATTACGAAGAACTTGTGAAAAAAAGCACCGGGAAGCAGTGACTATACCAGGAACGTTTAATTACAGCTCAAGTAGAGTCCTTTTATCACTCTCGTGTAACCACACTCTTTTATAACACGTGTTTTGCCTCATATGTTTAACAAAACTGTTTTTATCACACACGTCTCATACACTCGATTAAATTCTTTGTTTGACTATTCATGAATCATGAATTAATGAATTAATGTCTGGAAATTTAACAATTTCCTCATCGGTAAACAATGGTGTAACATGCTCAGTTATTTCTGTTCAACAGGAAGTATCACCTGACATTGCTTGCTTATTCCGTGAGTTGGGCAGGAAAACATTTTGTCTTCTCACGACTTTAAAGGAGGACCAAGCCCCAGAATGACAAAAAGACGCAACCGTTTAAATGTAGAAAAACATAAAACAAATCCATTCAAAATCTCAATCCTAACCAAACATTCCGACATTCACTAACTTGTGTTTTGTTTAGTTTCGACTTTCTTGCCGCATCGCGTTGGCAAAGTTGAAGTATGACAGCTCTTAGTCTTGCATCTAACTTGCCAGTCAGTGTGAGTGAGTTGGGTTCAATGCTGATTTGAAAAATATTTTGGTTATCTCACGATGAGGTGAAATGCGTTATGACGCATGGCGTTTCACAGACAATCCAGTGATCAACAGCATGAGCATCGATCTGCGCAATTGGGAACCGATGACATGCCTCAACAAGTCAGCGAGCCTGACCACCCGTTAGTAGCCTCTTACGACAAGCATGGGTTACTGAAGATCAATTCTAACCCAGATCTCACGGATATCTTGTGTAATAAGCATGTGAAGAAAGAGCAACAAGATGGAAGTTGAAGATAAAACACATTTTTGTGAAAATCTGGGTATTAATCAACAGTCAACCATAATCTTACTTGTTTTGTTATGTCTGTGGCTGCTATAGAGAACGCCTGGTTTGTGATATCTGCATACTCTGGATTCCACGGGTAGTCCTCCACGTTTATCACCACCCGCGCCTCATAACGGCTCTCTGAAACACACAGAACATCAACCGTCAATATGGGTGGGTGAGGAAAGATTTACTCTGTGGGGTAGCCTAGTGGTTAAAGCGTTCGCTCATCACATCGAAGACCTGGGTTCGAATCCCCACATGGATACAATGTCTTAAGCCTGTTTCTTAAGGCAGCGTAAAACTAAACTCACTCACTACTCTGATGTCAGCAATATCCGAGCAATCTAACGGCATAGGCATTGGAAATGAGGTTCACACATTGTACCCAAGTGGGGAATCAAACCCAAGTTTTCGGCGTGACGAGAGAAGGCTTTAATATCTTGTCTACCCCACCGCTCAAAAGTGTGTTTGTATATGAATTAATATGGATTTACGTCCAGTCTGAGCTGCTTTTCGCAGTGATGCGATGTGCTTTAAAAAACAAAATTCAAAATGGTATTAAATTGCGGGACGAATTCCAGCACGCCCCGACTGATGTTAAATCAGAATCAGAGAATATATATTTTACTGAGAAAGTGTTATTCCAAATATAACGTGTTATAGAGAAATAAAACTATTTTTACACAGACACACACACTCACTGACATGCTCACGCATGCTCGCATACACGCACGCACGTACACACGTATGTACGTACGTATAGATGTGTGCGTGCATGTACCTGAAACAAAAACAAGACTTAAGTTTGTCTCCTACGGTTAATTTTCAAGCGGCCGAGAGACACCCCACTACGTGTCATCAAGGAAGGTTTACTGATATTCTCCGTGCCATATACATCAATATACGACATGGGGCTTGTTGTTTATTGCTATCTGAGAACACAATTTATGTCTGTAACGGTACAAGTCAAGCTGACCCGAATGAGTCTTTATGTGGTATTGACGTGTCCATGTTATCAGTGCGGGGCGTGCACGAGTGTGTGTTGGCGAGACTTATCTAGAGGAATGTCTGCTGAGGAGGGACGAGGACGTCATTACCTCGTATGTTATCTCAACAGTCACGAACCCTCCACAAAAGTCGATATTGTTACGCACGGCAATAAATAATTTTCACAGCTGACTGTTTATCTAATATGGTCTCCATGTTGTTATATCGAGTGTAGTTTTGGGGTGATTGCAATGTTTGTTTAGAGTTAATGGTGTTTGCCTGTTCTGGTATGATGGTAGGACGATATAATAATAATAATAATAATGTCACTTATAAAGCGCAAATGTCCACACACTTATGAATGCTCAATGCGCTGAAAAGAATTGAGTAAAAGAGTCAGACATAGGCACTTTGAAACAGGTGAGTTTTAACTTTTGACTTGAAGGTTGAGAGACTGCAGCGCCGAGAAGACGCATTGTGGGGATCGGGTGGTCTTGTGGTCGGGTGATCGGGTGGCCTGTTTATTTTTAACATTCAACAACATTCTCTCACTCATTTATTCACATGTTATTTAAAAAGTTATTTTTTATTTCTAACCGCTAACAAAACTCGACTGAGTGGTATTTTATGCCGCGTTCAGTTGCACGCCATGATCTTAGGCTGTGAATGAGTGAGTTCAGTTCGGCGTGACGTTTCAACCACTAGGCTACCCCGCCGCCCCTTTTTTATGGCAGGGACATGGGCAAGTATATTGTTTATTATAGTTTACCATTTTAGGGTAGAGAACCGGGACCTATTGCTACGTGGGCGAACCCCTGAACCACTTTAGAAGAACTTCGAATTTCCTTAGAATATTTTACCATTTATCTGGCAATTTCGCGTCACTCAACAGTATTTCAGGACATTTTACACAGCCATCCCCGTTTCACGCCTGTTCGTGTAGACAATGGAGTATTAATAGTTGTCAGGTAATTCTTACCGGAAGTGATAGAAATGTTAACGCCAGAAGCGTTTCACTTGTATTGACTTCGAGTGTGGACAAAACGATAAATAGGAGATTTATTATCAATCCCAGAAGCTTGCTTAATCGATGTTGTCATGGAAACTGATAAACAACATGGAGACAATAGGGGTTCGGGTTGGGGGGCCTCTTAAATGACGAGGTAGGTGGTGTTGGGGAGCGGAGAAATCGCTGTCCTGTTATTTCAGCTCCTACGACAGTCCACGCACAGACGTTGTTGTCGTTGAAATCAAAGAGCTAGCTGCTGTGCAGGTGACCGTGGTATTCAAGTAAAATACGATCGATACTTCGCCATGTCAGAGGAGCCCTGATTCGTGATCCTTTGATTTTGTCATTTACTCATCCAGGGACTACACTGGGTCACGTACATACGTGTACGGTAATTGACTTGATTCATTGAATTCAATACTAGATTGTGATACGGGCAACAAACACTAGAATGTAACTGATGGGTAGGAGATGTCAGATCGTGATGAGGTGAGGTGAAATTGGGTTTACCGTCGTGCTTGAGAATATTTCGCTCATATGACAACGTGCATGCGTGTGTATGTGTATGTGCAGACTGAAGCTGGTTTTATAGTGCTAGCCCACTGTGATACCATGCCGCAGTGAAGCATGAATACCCCACTCAGACACATCATACTGACTCCGAGCCGACCAGTCCTTGTTATACCCATTAATGCCGAGCGCCAGGCAGGGACCAACAAGTACCGTATTTTACCGTGTTTTGGTATGACGCGGTCGGGGATCGAACCAGCGACCTTCCGCCCTCCGGGCGGACGCTCTAACCACTACACCACGGAGGCGGTTCAGATCGTGATGAAATATTAACGAGTGTCTATCCATAAAGTGTTCCCCCTTCATCTCACCAGCTTCTAAATGCCACTTAATGAAGTAAACGCCACTTAGAAGAAAATAAATGTCGGGTTCAGCTCATTTGGTTAAGGGGTCGATATGTTATTGTAAATAAAAGCGACAAAACCCTTTCCACATTCATAAGAAATATCTGCCAAAAGCAGATTTTCGACTGTGGCTATATTGTGAGCAGATATTTGTTTCAGCAGTATGTATGATGTTGTTTGTAAACAAATCGGTTCTGAACCAGACAATCCAGTGATTGTCACCATGCAATACGATGACAGAGCATGTGTTAATGAATCATTATGAAATAGTGAAGATACCAGGTGTTTGCGAAAAGGTGAGCGTATCCTGCCCCACCGGTGGCACCCGTCATAAACATATGCCAAGTCTAGTCATTTTGTTCACCTGAAATAATTCGTGAACGTATGGTATAAGTCAAAATAGGGAATTGCATCGGACGTCATTTTTGTCACTGATGCATCAAATGTAGAAATATCCTCCACATGTGATGGTATTCTGTGCGTGTGTCAGCGTGCGCGCGTGCATGCATGTAGTGTGTGCGTGTGCGTATGAATGCTTGTTTTTATGGATTATTTACGGATTGGATTTGAAAATGTTTGAAATCAATATTTTTTCTTCAGATATCGTAATATCGTTGAAAGATCTGTTTTTACATATTTAGGCTCATAGCTATAAATTTGTAAGAATCCGGTTCGGCAACTACACATGAAAATAATTATCTCCACAAAATCCCAGAATATCTAACGATCGATTTCTTAACGCATTAACTACTAATGTGTACTCGCTACTGGATCAAGTGCCAAGAAAGGCGTTGAGAGAAGTACAGGTATATCACCACTGCATTAACTGATTTGCAATCTGAATGTGACCACTCGACATATCGTACACGTTCAATGTAATGGCAATACCTTGTCATTCATGCTATGTTGATGGTGTTATTGTGATCGTCAATAGGCGTGTTGTATAGTCGAATATGATCGCTATTCGGTAAGGCGACATATCTCGCCTACAGCACTGTGAAGTGAACATGTCGACAATACTGTTATCCAGATATGGTTCGATAACCGATCAGGTGATTAGCTGATGGAATTGTACTAATAATACATGAAACATTGTTACTTTAGCGCATTGTGAACAATAAAACCCACGGATCGATTAAGTCTCTGAAATATGTTCAGCCAATTCTCAAAGCCTACGGCATTTAGATTTCCAGTATCATTAAGTCACTGTGCAATAGCACGCAGATCACTCTGGTAATGGAGAAGGACATGGACATGTTTCGTCGTACTCGCTTTGTTGAATCCGAAGTGGAAACTAAATCTATGAATCGTAAGTGTTCATCAAATAATCATGAATCTAGCTCTGGGGTAAATCATTGCTTAATTGTCACATGCATCAAACAAAAAAAACTGTTTATGTAAACTGTGTTGGTGGCGGACACGCCATGTTTAACCTTTCCCCGAACACCTGGTGCCATCACTAATTTTCAATGATTCATTCATATCTCCATTTTGTCTTTTGTGCACTATGGAATCTGTGTCGGATAATTGACACTGGTTCTTTGGCGTTAGCTTTTACATTTCATCAAACACCAGGTTTTAGAGTGAATTATTTCAACTTTAGCCGTTTTCGTTGTATTTGTTTGGATTGAGGTAAAGTTAAAAAAGACTATGTTACTCTAGCCATGAAAGTGTACTTTTTTAATAGAGCCGAGCCACACTATATAAGGTATTGTTCTCTGGGGCAACGGGTTTGTCACGCATCAAGACCGGGTTCGATCCCCTGTTAGGATAGTGTCTTTCTCGGTGTTGCCATAAGAAGATTACTAGAAGCGAAAAAACCCGAATTCACTCACGAGCTCATGGGACCCTGCTTTCATATGACCCATGTTCCCGTCACCTTACTAAGTTGCTATGGTCGATTTTACATTTTAAAACACACACACGTACACGCACACAAACACAGAGAGAGAGAGAGAGAGAGAGAGAGAGAGAGAGAGAGAGAGAGAGAGAGAGAGAGAGAGAGAGAGAGAGAGAGAGAGAGAGAGAGAGAGAGAGAGAGAGAGAGAGAGAGAGAGAGACACACAGGCAGAGAGACAGACGCACACACGCACAGAAAAAGAAGAAAATCAAATAAAAAATTCACACGAAAAATGAACAAAACGGGTGACAGCTTAGTCAGCATAATCAACGTACTAACTAAGGCATCCCTGCCGTGTCACAGACAGGCACGAGGAAGGATATGGGTG